CATTTGACATTATTTGGTTATAACACTGTTGAGGGAAAAAAATTGGTCCCTGGCCCAGGCCACTGCAACGTGGAGTGCATGTTCCCCCATGTCTGTGTGGGTTTTCTCCAGGAGCCCCCATTTCTTCCCACATCCCAAAGATGGGCGTGGGAGGTAAAGCAGGGCGTCTACGTTGTCCGCATCTCAGTGAGTGCGCCCTGGGACGGAAGCGCGTCCTGTCCGGGGCGCGGCGGACTTGCGCCCTTAGCTGTCAGCAGAGGCTCCGGCCAACACGAGAGCTGGAGCCAGTGGGCTGGAAAAGAGTGATCTGATGTGTTTTTATTATCTTTCTCGCCTGTATGTCAGTTCACATTTACTTCAGTGTGTCATATTAGAAGTGTTTGGGGTCATTATTTAGAAGTTTGGTAATGGTTTTGTGACCAGAAATATGCCATACAAACTTAACTTGTTTCTATCAGTCAGTCAATTAGTTACTTCCTATTTATGGCAGCGATTTTCAACTTTCTTCATCTCACGGGTCAGAGACCAATTACTCAACTTCTGCAGCACACCAAAAATGTATTGTGAGCCGATCTGACAAAAAGATAGGGATCATTTTGATTGATTCCCCCCGGATGGCTATTGTTGTGTTGGCTGTTGTCACTTTTATTTGACAGTCTAAGGGGAAAGAGGGCAGAGCCCCTGGCTAAATCGTCAGGCAGTGCAGGCTTTAAAAATTCTTGCAGCACACTGGTTGAAAATTGCTGGCCTGTGGTAAAACTGGTCTCGTTATATGTCTTTTCGCGTCAAGTGGCAGTTTCCTAGGACCTACTGACGACGTGAGGGGAGGACTCACTGCACGCTGTTATCTGCCTCCAAGGGCGGCAGTGAAGATATGATCCGATCAGGCACAGGGAGGCCCTTCGGGAACTGAAAATGTCACAATGGCGTCCTGACAGTCACCATCATTGTCTAGCCTTGCACTCGGGGCTTTACTTGGAACTCCAGCAAAGCCTGTGGCCGGCTGGAGGCGGACCAGCTGGTTTGTCAGGGGCTGGCTGTTGCACGGGAGCCTCAGTTTACTTGCCATGCGTGCATGTCATGCATTAGGGCACCTGTCAGGAGAGGGTGCACCAGCTTGCAGGCCTTCAATAAGCCAGAGCTTCTCTACCCAGAAGACTCTGCGCCCTGCTCAGCAGCCCCAGGGAACCCCCTTGCTATTCGATGATGCCTCTGGTGCTTAAGATAGTCCTGCAACTTAAGGGACTTGTCTTCAGAACTGGGTACCTTCCCTCTTCGGGGTCAGGGAAACGGCCACACGTCACCCCAAGATGGAACACCAGTGAGAACAGCACGGTGCTGCAGTGATGCCACCAAGTCCCAGAGCAGCCCAGGCACTGGCTTTTCAGGGAAAGGATCCTCACCCCCCAGATGACACCGCTGAAGGGGACCGCCCCCCACTGACTGAACAGCTCCTGGTTACGTAGCTGTTGGAGCTGCTGCTTCCCCCAGCCACACCTCCTGCATGAACCGCATGGACCCCCAGGCTTTTCCCCTGAAGCCATAAACTGCTCTCAAAACGAGTGAGCTCTAAAAGGCCCTTTTAGGGTAGGCTGTAAGTGGCTCAACAGCTTACTTTCTGGATCACATACTTTTTTAAAATTGCTTATTCCACAAACATACAATGACTCTAAAATCGAAATTCTCCAAAAGGCTAGTCACTTCCACAAGTCCAAGTGCTTTCATTTTCCTATTTTTCCTTCCTGTTCTGATTTTGTACAGACATGTGTGTGTACATGTGTATAGTCCTGACCTAATTGTGTACATGAGGAATGTCTTATTCACTTATATATTTCAGAGTTGCTTATGGACTGTTTAATACTTGCACTGAATAGCCACCATAGGTTAGTTAACGCTTCCCGTGCTGGCCAACATTTAGACTGTTACTCAGAGTGTGGTCTGTGGACCAGCAGCATCAGCATCACCAGGATTTGGTTAGAGATGCAGAATCTCAGACCACACCCCAGACCTGCCGAACCAGAATCTAAATTTTAGCAATACACCAGGGAATCCGTGTGTCCATTACATACAAGAGTTCTAGTTCAGAGTTTGTAACATGTTGGATGTATGTAACTAGGAGGCCTTTGGACAACATGGTAGTATCCTCACAGGAACAGGTCTTGCGGGGCATTCACTGTTGTGGGGTTTAGTGTGGGAATACTGTCCAAAAAAATCTGAGGGGCTTTAGGTCCCAAGTAAATGTAAGAGCTCATTTCCAGTCAGCCTTAGGCCATGTTTCTTGGGGATATGCTGGCACTGGGAAAAAAATCACGGCTATACAGCCAAGTATCTATTGTCCAACATGGCCAGGAGAGAGGTGGCCAGAAAATGGGCCCAGTATTTCAGGAACTATGGGCTGATGGACACAAGAAAGGAGACGGCAGGTAACGGGCAATTTTCATTCAAGTGGAATGAAACTTGTCATCGCTGGCTTTTGCAATTGTATTGTCTTACCTGGGGTTGCTATGTGTGTGTTGTTTGGGGAATGCGTAGGGACCAAGTTTGCTTCAGACCTGGGAGCATGCAAACGTTCTGGTGGTCCTTGTCTGTAAAGCTCTGAGAGGTCCGCCAGCCTGCAGCAGGCTTGTGAGCACGCCTGTTTGGGAGAGCTGGTCACCAGGGCAGATGGCTTCACTCATAAATTCCAACCATTTAAGGAAGGATGAATGGCAATCCTTCTCAAATCCTTCCAAATTACTGGAGAGGAGGGAACACACACACCAACCTCATTTGACGAGGCCAGCGTTACACTGATACCAAGGCCAGAGAGAAACACCACAAGAAAACTGCAGGCCAATAATCCCTGATGAACGTAGATGCAAAGATTATCAACAAAACATTAACAAACTGAATTCAACAGTGCATGAGAAGAATCACACACTATGATGAAGTGGTGCTTATGAGGGTTCAACAAATGAAAATCAATTAATGTCATACACCAGGTTAACCTTATAAAGATAAAATCATATGATTATCTCAGTATATGCAGCAAAATTGTTTGACAAAATTCAACACCCTTCCGTGATGAAAACTCTCAACAAACTAGAAGTAAAGTACCTCTGCCAGAGGGGAGGGGGCTGGGGGACTGGGTGTAAAAGGCCAAGGAATTAATAATTGCAAACTGGCAGTTACAAAATAGTCATGAGGATGCGAAGTACAGCGTAGAGGATGTAATCAGTAATATTGTAACAACTCTGTGTGGTATCAGGTGGTTACTAGACTTATCAGGGGGATCACTTTGAAGTGACATTTGAGAAATTAGGACTAAAAAGAGGTTACCAAAGACTTCCTGAGATTTAAAAAAAAAAGCTGGGTCACCTCAAACAGGAAGTGGAAGGCCTTCGGCCCTCCCAGTGGCCGTGTTGGGAGCAGACGGCATGGGAGGTGTCTCCCAGGCGCCGAACGAGAAGTATTGAACAGAGAATCCACAGTCAGGCTAAACCATCAACCAAAGGTGAGGTAAGATAAGGCATTTTTGGACAGGCTGAAATCTTGAAAAACCTGTGTAACATAACCCTCAAGGAACTACCAGGGCACCTATTGCTCCAGTTGAAGAATCTGGGAGATGCAGAACCCAGGAAGCCAGAGATGGAACATGAGTCTCTGCGAGACAGCCGCGCAGAGCGCCCGGAGAAGCCAGGGCAGCCTGGAGCAGGAGCACAGGGCCAGGGAGGCCAGGCGCTAACTACCCTATTGTCTCTGGAAAAAGTGAAAAACTATGTCACAGGACCCTACTTGGTTTAGCGCACTGTAGTCAGTCACCATAGTATGCACTATATAATGAACAAAGCGTGAATGTGAAAATACTGGGTGTGGGGGGAGAGGAAGGGAGAGCAGGCACGCAGGGGTTTCAGGAACTTGGAAAGCCAACTGTTCTCTGGATCGAATATGCATTGTGCACGGCACCTTCTTCCATAAAGTTCTCGTGTTTTCCACCCGGCCACACAACCGAGCCATTCATTCTCTTACAGATCAAACGCTGGCTCAGCTTTCTGCAAACCGAACCAGCCAGGACCTCCATCATTACTTCATGCTCCCTTTGTGTCCTTGGGCTGCCTTTGCTTAAATTATTGGTTGGCTGGATAAGGAGCAATATGGTTTCACGTCTGATCCTCAGTCAGTATTGCTGGTAGCTTACCCTTTAGGTGAGGCACCCAAACGCTACTTTGGAATCAACGTGGATTCTATGGGCAACCCTGTTCCTATGCTTTTTCCCAGGCTATCCTTAAGGGTATTTTTCTCTGCTCAGGCGGCCAAATCAAAATCATGTATAATAGAAGATAAGATTTAGCCAACTTCCTGTTTGGGTAATATTTTCGTTTTAATGCAAATGTCCTATTTGATAACGAGCCTATGCAACATCCTAATAGGAGGAATACAAATAACATCACAGCAAAACTCGGCGGAGCCACAAGCACGAGTTTCACAGTTGCTGCTGGCCAGGCGGCGGGCTTGGGGGTATGTCCCAGCAAGGGCTCCTGGACGCGTGCGCGCGACACCCCTGCGGGCGCTCACGGCCCTCGTCCGTGGAGCTGCGCGCCTTCCTGCCCGGCCGTAAGCGGCCACGGTCACACCCTCTTCACTCATCTTTGGGTCCCTCAAGCACAGGTATTAAATTTGTGGAATGAAATTGTAAGAAGCCGAGATTCCGGATTAGAGATATTTTTTAAAAGTTATTTTTATTTCAAAGAGCACTTAAAAAAATACAGGAATGGGTAAGAGAACTTAGTAAAATGATGTGTGCCAATTGAAGAGCAGAATGTTAAATCTGGATCGGCCAAGTCTGTGTGAGCAGTGCTGGAATGCCCGTCACTTGTCACAGGCACTGAGGTGTCTGGAGGCTGTGGAAACGGTAGGACAGTGACTGTCACAGCCCGGGGCGCTGATGTCAATAAGCCACGGAGAGGCCAGCCGCGGAAAACACACTGACAACCCACCAAGAACCGCACCACGTAATAAGCTGTTTGAGAGCCATCAATGGATGACTTTATTTTATATAAAAGTTACATTGAAAGAAGAGGTTGAAAAGTCAAGTATACTTGATTTGCACATACTTGCCAAGTCTCACAGGATTCAACCACTTTGATAATTTTTTTTTAATTGATAAACAGGATATACCTATTAAAAGGCTCACACTGAAGCCCAATACACATGTCCAACCCAGACGACAGATGTGCAAATGAATATGCAAAACAGTCTCCGGAAACTCACCTGGATCACCCACGGTGTGTCCCATCCCCCTGGCTGTGACACAGTCCGTCCCCTAATAGCTCACACAGTTCTGTAGTGACTTGGTCCATTTCTACAACGTCCTACAGCTTTGTTCACTTGGCTGTGGTTGTCTCAAGTAGGTCCCTTGGTGGTTTTGCATCAGCAGTGGTAGAAACCCTGATTAGGATAGGGTACAGATTAATTAGAAACAAAACCAAAAATGGTTCACAGATGAATAGAAGGGTATGACGACCAGGAGGGAAACACTAACTCTTCTCAGCGTGGGAGGCAGGCTTAAAGGGGACCCTAGGACGGTCACAGATGGCTTCCTCGAGAGTCCCGCAGAAACGTACCGACCAGGCAAGTTTAAGGCGAGTCCCCAAGGCGGGGAGCTGTTTGCTTTCTGGCATAGTTTTAAGCTCTGCACCAAGGGTCCTACTGGATCACTGGTGACGTGGGTAGAGAAAAAAAAGGATTAAAAAAAAGAAAAGCAAGCCATTGCCATCCTGAATATTCTTTGCAAGTGACGCAGAGTCCAGGGCTCGTGGCCTTGCAGTCCTCTCACCTCCTCAATGACTACCAGAGGCCAACCCGTCTCTCTGTTTCACTGTGGCTGTGCCCGCCCCTCCCCCCAACACCCACGAGCTGCACCAGGTGGAGGCTGCCAGACACACAGCCCTTGGTGCTGCTTACACGCTGCTAATTTGGCTGGAACGAAAAAAAACGTCAGTCCCAAGGCCCTCACACACTCAATATTTTTAAGGTAAAATGAAAACAGGAGGGCAACAAAGGACCACACAGGAATGATTGTTCTTTGGATCAAGATATTCTCCAGTTTGCAATACATTCATAGCGAACCCCACGGGAGGAGGATCCCGGGGCAGCTCTCCCCGCTTCCCTGAAACGTCGGTTTCTAAAAAATAGCTTGTTTGCTGCACACAGCCGTTAAGTGTTACATCGCCTAAACAACACTGGCAATTTAAAAACACACATGCATGCACGCACACACACACGCACACAGACACAGACACAGACCCACACACGGCCTTGCTGCAGGGTCAAAGAATGCCTCTTCCCGGGCATTGGGAGTGTATCGGAAGCCGCCTTCGCTGTTCAGTGCACAGATCTTTTGCAAATTCAGTGCAGTGTCAGAACTAATGGAGGCCAAAGGGTACCTCTAGGCAAACGCCCCTTCTCGGTCGCGGGAGTGCGCTCAGGAATCACAGGGCCGACAGGAACTCCCTGACACCGCCCCTCGGGCGGTTCCCGTTCACTGGATTCACTTCTTTTCTTCATGATTGAAAACAGCAGCTCAGTACACAGGATTAGAATAACCCATGTAATATCACAGAACTTCTTAGAAAATGTGAAGTTTGCTTAACAAAAACCCTAACTGTGCCGGAAGATAATGACATTTGGCTTCTTCATGTGGCCACATCCATGTCGTTTGTTGTACAGGTGAAAACTGATGAGAGCATCAGCCAGTTACTAGTTTGGAAAATCTGCCATCCATGACTGTAAATACAGTATATAAAATTCTGCTTGCTGCAAGCAATTGGTTTGTGTAGGTTCCATTTGCCCTATTGGTCACTGGTCACAGATGAGCTGTTGATACCCTTTCAGACCCCAAATAAATAATTTAAAGTCCGTTAACAAGTTCCAGCATGACAAGAGGGGCCTCAGACAGAGAACTCTGGGCCTCCTTTTCTAGGTCGTATTTGCAGTCGCCTAAATTGGAAGCCAACGAAGGGATTCATCCAGAGGAGCGAGGGGGGGCCCCCAAAGACAGACTTCATCCCTTCCCATCGCAGCCTCCGCTCCCAGGTGGGCTTCTCACTTTTCAGTCTCTCAATCTCCTGGAAGCAGAAAGAAAAGCAAGTGGGTGGCAGTGCCGGGAGACCCCCCTGCCCCCAGCATAGCCCGGTTAGGCTGAGAGGTGAAAGCGGGGAAAGACCACCAAACTCTACCGTCCCGCTGTATCTGACAATGGGGTGTTCAGGGGGAACGTGGGCTTTCCTTCCTGGCACCAGCCCCCAGGGCCTCCCCACGCATAGCCAGGCCGCGGCCATCTGGCCAGGCCGACACCAGGCAGCTGGGCAGTGGCCGTGGGCTCCGAGGACAGCGCAGGCAGCTGCAGGGGTAGACGTGGGAGAGAGCTAGTGCTCCGGGCCAGGCGGCCTTTAGTTCATCCACTGCAAATATTTCTCGAGTGTCTGCTCTAGGCGTACAGTTCAAAGTCGTGAAGGCAATCAATTCCTGAAACTCACTCAGCTGCCCCAGGGGCTGGGTCTCCTAGAAACTGGGAATCTGCCTGGCTCCGCTGACTCTCAAACCACACTGCCCCCTGAGGTGTGCGCCGTTCAGGCTGACAGGAAGAACAAACACAGCGCGCCCGTCGGAGCTTATCAGGGCCGCTCCATTAATCTCCCGAGTGAACACATGCACACCTGCTGTTGACGTTAGGATTTCCCATTGACTCAGGCTCTCCCCAAATATAAAGCAAACAGAGCCGAGAACAAAGCATACCGTTTCATCGTTGCATATTGAGTGGATCTGGGTGCCAAACATAACTGCAGTGAAAGTGAAAAACAGGAGACCCTCAAGGCACAGGAAGATCAACAGGATGACAGTGATTGGAGGTGAAAAATCACTGCACTCTGCGAACAAAGGAGAGTGGGTTGTGACTGGGCCTCACAGCATAACGAACCCCCGACCCGCAGGACGCCGGATCTCCCCACAGCGGCAGCCCCTGGGCCGGCTTCCAGGAAGAACGTGCTCATTTTGTAAAGAGGCACGTTCATTGTTCACCAACGGGCAGAGGAGGCTGGCCCTTCCGAGAGAAAACTGATCCTGCCATTTCCCGGCCAGCAGTTTCCAAAGATTCCACATTATCCGAGGTTTCTATCAAGACTATCCCTGTGTATTAAAGTGCTTATTAAAATGCAACTAAAGCCAGAGAAGAAGAGGCACGTGTACCTACACACGGGAGGTACACACAGGCCACTGCTCACCCACCCCTGGGGCAGGGCGATTCTGGCCTGCCTGCGTATCCAGGGCTGGACCCCTGATGCCCAACCTTCACGCCACTCATACTCAGTCATGCAAGGGGCACTCTGAACAGTGCCTAGCTGGTTAGCCAGAAAACACCAGGAACAATACTAACTTCCTCTAAATCTCAATATCTGCAAAATACAAATGAGACACTCTAGCAGGAATTACTTGCTAAGGAAGAATAGTTTTATATATATGTATATGTGTGTATGTGTATACACGTGTGTGTGTGTGTATGGCTTCATTACACTAGGAAAAAGACTGTGTTAATACTTACCCATATTCTTTTCTTTAAAAAAAAGAACAGACCTCCTAAAATAACTGCAAGGATTTCTTTCAAAACTGGAAAATCAATTTTCCTTGGAAGCCTTCCCCTCTCCCCCAGCACTATGACGTCCAGGAATGACACACACAGGCCTACCTGTCCACTGCCCTCGGACGCAGGAAATGAACTGGAGCCCACAGAGGATCAGAGCGTGGACTGAAGACAGAGCGATGTACATCTGGAAAGGGGAGGCACGGGTTACACATGGTGAGCAATGATGTACTTCTAGGAGTGAAGGGCGCCTAATCTTACGCTGACTCCTCCATTTCACTTGTCAATAAAATCAATGAGGGAAGGAATCAATTGCAGTAGTTGACATCTGCCTACCCAAGATCATGTTGGACCAAGTAAAATGATTTTATGGAAAAACAAACAGGCAATTATGTTTTAACTTCAGCAAGCTCCTATTAAGAACTGTGTATCTGTGAGAATTAAATGACAGTAAACACTAAAACACCACAAGCAGTATATATTTATCTTTTGGGCTACTTCCTACCAATCACAGCCCAGTATTACAATCTGAATCCAGAGCAAAGGTTGGAGAGAAACCGGTCTGATGTTAGAATAAATGTACCAGTTCCAGGCAAGATTCTAGTTCAAGAATTTAAAACTCAATACAAGTCACTACATAAATATTTCTACTCACAGTGAAAAGCACAAAAAATCTCTGATTCTTTTCTCCTACACAATTGTTCACCCACGGGCAGTGATGATCCATTTTCCGAATACATCTTTTGCAAATACTAAGAAGGAGAGGTTTAATTATTAGTATTCCATGCTCTGAAGGAACACACCCCAGGCCATGGGTCCAATACACAAAATTGTAATGCTGGTCAGAGGCCACTGAGGAGGACCTCCGGCTCCAGGGCAGGAGCCGCGGTACCTGCGGGGGTCGGGGGGATGCCCAGGCCGCCCCGGGGAAGGGGCCGCGGTACCTGCGGGGGTTAGGGGGTGCCCAGGCCGCCCCGGAGAAGGGGCCGCGGTACCTGCAGTGGGGGGGTGCCCGGGCCGCCCCGGGGAAGGGGCCGCGGTACCTGCAGTGGTGGGCGCGCTCAGGCTTGATACAGCAGCACTTTGGGCACTTGTAGATCACTTCTCCTGGCTTCAGCTGCAAACTCTCCATATATTCTTTAGTAGCATTTCCTTTGGGTACTGCCCCCTACAGTTTAATAATAATGTTTAGTTAGGGAGAAGGAAAGGTTAAAAATAAATGTCGGAATTAGTCTTAGATTTTACATATCATAAAATAAGTAGTAACGTGGTAGTTGCCACTTAAAGCATATTGATATGAAAAATAACTATTACTCAGGCAGGACCAGAAGTTTTATTTTGCATGAAAAATAACATGCATTAAAATGAACTCAAAAGAAAGACCTTATTGTCCTTCATAAAGTGGTAAGTCACATGAGTTTTTCCTAGCTAATGCAAGTTACACCAGAGGCGACGTTTGTTTGTGAAGCCATTCCAACTCAAGAGCAGCTGACTGTCTCCACTTCCCTGTTGCCCCATAAAGGGCAGGGCTGGCCTGATAACGCTGCCCAGAGTTCCCTATCAGCTGCCCTAGGGGAACACTGAGCAAACCGTCTCACAGAGGACTTTATCTTCTGTTTTTTGTGTAATGCACCTGTGTCTGCCAGCCTAATCAAGAGCACTCACTCAAACCTGAGTGTGTGGCCCCGCGTCACCGACCCAACTCAGCATCTGGCTCTGGGGTCAGGGGCTGGAACAGGGAGCCTGAGAAGGTAGGACGATATGAGACTGACGACCGGCGGGAGCAGCACTGGAGCTCCCTAAAGCCCGCGTGCGCAGGCTGGGTGCCCGAGCCAGAGCCGAACCTCTGTGGGGCGAGGGCTGACATCCAAGTTTGAAGAAGGTCAGCAGGCGAGTGTGTCAGTCTGGAGACTGAGGACCACTGGCTCCCAGGCCAAGCCAGGTGCAGAGCTCTGCCGCCAGCAGGAAATGGGCCTCCAGGAGGTGCTCTGGGGAAATGGGACACGGGGGACTGCGGGCAAAATGTGAATGTTCCCGCCTGCCCTCCAAGAAAGGGCCAGTCAGTTCCATCGTCCTGATGTGGGGAAGCCGTTTTGGTCAAGGTCCTCGCGTTTCCTAACACTCAAATTGTCTTGTCTTCTTACAGAATGTAATACAAGTTAAGGGTTTAAACCCTTGTTTTTGAAAATTTGAATCAGAATGTTGGGTGCAACATTTTACTTATTTTTTTTTAAAAAAGATTTTATTTATTTTTAGACAAGAGGGGAACGGAGTAAGAGAGGGAGAAAAATATCAATGTGTGGTTGCCTCTCACGCGCCCCCTCCTGGGGACCTGGCCAGCAACCCAGGCGTGTGCCCTGACTGGGAATCAAACTGGCGACCCTCTGGTTCGCAGGCCGGCGCTCAGTCCACTGAGGCACATCAGCCAGGGCCATTTTACTTAATTTACATACCACAATTTGGAGTCTTTCAGGTTTCCTCCACCAATCAGAGAGTCTTAATGCCGTTATGATTTTATAAAATATAATGTTGTAAAATTCGCTCCTGGTGACAGTTCAACATCACACGTTTCCATAATAAGAGGAAGTGGATCACGTTTAAAACTCCACCCACCTTAATTTTTATGAGACACACATTCACGTTTCCATAGTAAAAACAAACGTGATAAAATACCCTTCTTAAAGGCACAACACCCAACAGTACTTTTTTTTTTTTTTAAAGGAAATTGCTTATGAATTTTTACTGAAGAAAGCTATGTACCTCAGTGTAGGCAAACAATCATCATGTGAAACTTAGTGACTGGAGGCTCGCGTGGTGTTAAGGCATTTGCTGGTCCCAGACGCTGCTTTTTGCTGCTCAGAACCCTGGGCAGTCAGCGCAGACCCCAAGGTCCCGTCCCAGGGCTTCCGGGTGGTTTCCCTGGGGCCCTGCAGCCAGGGGCCTGCCCTTGCATTCCGAGTCTCTCAAGGAGCGTCTGCAGACCAGGCACCAGGCAGAGGGGCTGGCCCTGGGCGCAGCGCGCACCGCCAGCAGCCGGCCCCACGCCGACCCACCTCCCTGCTCAGCACCCGGGGTCCTGTAGGTCACATCTGGGGAGCACCTGTTTTCTCAGCACCAGTGGGAACCACTCTTCGTCCCATAAAAAGAAACCTTCTAAACAGCTGAGGCACATTCCTTAGGCTCACATTCGTATGATAACCATGTTCAGGGGCTGTTTTTTCAAAAACACGTCTTTTGTGTTTCCTACCCGTCTCCCTAGGCCTGTGATCCTGGCACCAGGCCACAGCCCTGCCTTCGGGCTGCTTCCTGCCCCAATGGCTGACTGCTCCCCCTTTGCACACAGCTCTCCCAAAGGCTTCTGATTCACAGCCGCCCCCCATCTCACACCCTCCCCTCCCCACCTCTAATTCACCAGAGAAGGAAGCCAGGTGCCTGCGTCACACAGCCAGAGAAGTTTTTCTTCATAAAGCACATTTTCTTCCTTTTTTCCCCCATGTCTTTTCATTTTGACCCCTTCCCAATTCCCTGTCATGCATTCTGGATCCCCAGGACCTGCCAAGGGAGAGCTAAACATGGAGTCTCCCCCTAGAACTCCTACTCCTCTATGGGGAGTGCCAGGAACGAGGAGCATGTTAAAATTTACACAGGGATGGAAGCTGAAAACTCCAGAGTGGGAGGAAAACTACAAGGCAAAGACCACGTTTCTTCAATTTAAAACATCCCAAGGAAAAAAAGAGTAGGAACCACAGAGATCATAAGGAGATACATAGAAGAGACACAAAATCTTATTTGGATCCTTATTCAAACAAAGGAGAATATGAAAAAACAGACACTGAGGAAATCTGAACTTTTAACTGGACAGGCGGTAAGGAATTCTTCAGTTGTTCCACATGCGCTATTGGCATTGAGATTATGCTTTTATGAAGAGCTCTTACTTTTTAAAGATACACACATGTATTTACAAATCAAGTTTTACAAGTGCCTGAGCTTGACTTCCAAACAATCTGGGGGGAGGGGCGAGAGGAAGTTAGGTGAGGGTGTCGCTGACCTGAGACGGACCATGAGATGGTAACCGGGGTTCACGAGACTTTTCCCGCCCACCTCTGTGTATGTTTGAAACGTCTGTAAGAACTTGACAAGAAGATGGGGCTCTGGAGACAGGTAAATCTTGTTCGATTTATCTGTGCCTTTGTGTCTGTCTTTGTGTGGGGTCTTGGTTTTGGATGTGGGTTTACCCCACCTCTTCCAGGCGCTGGACGGTTAAGGAAAGAACCCGTCTGGCAGGGCGCCTGGAGGAGGACCGAGGCTCCTCACAGGGCGCCTTCATTGGGTGCAGCGATGTCTGCTGAGAAGGCTGACGTTCGGAACAAAGGCTGGGCATTCAGGGCAGCGGGCTCTGGCTGAGGGCTCGAGGGGGGCCCCTTCTCCATCGCTCGGGGCCCCTTCTCCATCGCTCAGGGCCCCTTCACAATGTTCAGTTCTCAGTGTTTCCGAACATTAAGTCTGGTGGAAGTTTCATCTTCCCAAAGTGGGGCTTGTTGGTTTATCACCAGATTTCTGCTCCATGAAATGTCATAGACCCCATCCTCCTTCCTGCTCCTCATTCAAAACGCCAAGGATCTTCCTCAAATAACAAACCAAAGCAATTCTAGCCAAGACTGACTAGATCCTACTGGTTTAGCAAAATGACATGAGGTCCCCTTGGGTACCTGCCCCGCCCTGGAGGGGGTGGTAGTTCTAGTGGAGCCCACACTGGGCCCTGGGCTGGTAAAGCGGTGCTCTGCAGAGAAAAGAAAGCAAACTCCCTGAGGAGAGGGCAAAGAGTGGACATCTGCCCTGGCTGGCCACACAGTCTCCCCTTCAGGAAGGTGGATTTGCAACGTGATTCCAATTCCACCTGGTCTACGGGGCTACCCTCCTTCACTAGGCGCAGGGAGAGCCCAGAATGCCCAGGCGACAGAGAGCCTGAGGGGCCTGCCATCTCTCCCCCGGGCCCCCTGGCGCCTATCACTGTCCACAGCCCAGCTCTGCGGCTGGCCAGGGCCTTGGCAGGATTCTGGCCGTTGCGTTCCTCCGTTTTATCCGCACTGACTCCCAGGGGCTTCTGTGCCTCACCACTGGGTCCTGCTGTGGCAGGGCTGACACAGCGGCATCCCAACGGACAGAGACTGAAGCGGACCGAGGACTGAGTCTGCCAAAGACAAAGGAATGGCCAAAAAGCACATGAAAAAACGCTCAGCTTCGTTAGTCTACCGGGAGGTGCCTGTCAAAACGACAGGGAAACACCGCTTCGCGCCCCTCAGGGGGCGATGATAAGGAGGGTGAATGCTGAAGGGCGGGGAGGATGCGGAGACCCTTGTGCACGGCTGGTGGGAATGTAAATCGCGGCAGCTGCTGCGGCAAACAGTCTGACGGTTCCTCCCAAAGTTCAATGTGCAGTTACCATAGGACCCAGCAATTCTGCCCCTAGGCACCCATGCAAGAGAAATGGAACATGGGTCCACAGAAAAATGTGTATCGTTTTCATGGCAGCAATATCCGTAACAGCCCAAAGTGAAAACAACCCAAGTGTCCACCAATGAGTGGCTACGCCTAATAAACAAAATGGGGTGTGGCCATAAAATGGAATGCGATTCAGCCTCGAGGAGGGACACGGCTCTGGGGCAGGTTCCAGCGTGGGTGAACCCTGAAGCCGTGCGCTGGGCGGTGGGAGCCAGACACAGAGGGCCACATATGGAATGACTGCATTTACATGATCCCAGAATGGGCAACACAGAAAGTACATCAGAGGTTGCCTAGGGCCGGGGGTGGGGGCGGAATGGAATAAAGCAGTGATGGCTAGGGGTACAGAGTTTTTTTGAGGGGGTGATGGAATGTCTCAAATTGATTGAATGTCTAGAATTGTTGCACAATTCTGTGAATGCACTGAAAATCACTGAACTATATATACACTTTAAAAGGATGAATTTCTGTGGTACACGAATTAAATACCAACTGAAAAACTCTGATGCCCAGATCTCAAACTCCACCTCCGCCTGGGCACTGCCTCCCTCTAGCTGCTTCCACTCAACGCTTGGCAGCAATGCAATGAGTGAGACGCACACACCCACCAGGAACAGAGGCAGCGTCCTGCACGCTCCCGCAGCCCCTGGGGCTCCCTGTAAGAGTTTCGAGGCCTTTTCCCAGCGGAGGAGAGCAGGTGGGGACAGGAGCTGAGCTGCTGAGGAGCAACAACTACATTCAGTAGAGAAAACAAACACCCTCAAGGAGTCTCCGCCTGGTCAACCCTCCTTCCCCCACGTCCCACTGTGCACACTCACAACGGGGGACCTTGGTGTGGAGGTGGCCCATCACCAGAACGCCTCCCGAGAATGGGCCTGCCCAGTCTTCAACATCCAGCAAGAAGGTCGACACTAACAGGGCTTTCCCTACAGAGCATATCTGATGGGGCAGGACTTGCTAATCCGGCCCCCAGCCCTGTAACTGCCCTGTCACGCCCTGGGTTCTGATGGGGGGCGGGGGCTTGTGCTGCAGCAAGGAGAGGGGACGGGGATGCACGGGGCTCGGGAGTAGGGTTTCGTTCCCAGGGGGAAGCTTTGCTCTTTAAAGGAAAGGGGAAGAGGGTCCTTTAAAAGCCTGTGAGGGACATCAGACTCGGTGATGGTCAAAAACCCCTCAATCAGGCGAGGCTAAAAAACCGTGGGCAGACTTAGCTTCCCAGTTGTCCCCTAGGTTTCCACTGCTCCCAGCCGCCCACCTGGCTGGGTCTGAAACGCTGTCCGAGACCTAAGACCTCCACTAGGTAAACAGGCACCAGGGTAAATAACACCGGGTAACACCCTGTGATGCGAGCGTAGACACAGCGAAGGTCACAGAAGTCAATGTGTCAATCACTTCTGTGGACTGATCAATATCAGTTTATTCTCAAACAAAGGCCTAATCTTATTTATAAAAAAGTTTTATAACAAAACATTAAATTCTTGGTACCTTTTTAGAGAAGCTAATCAACAGACATGAGCCCAGACTTCAACGTACAAATCGGGAGCCCCTGTACCAATGGCTTAAAACCGCTCTCAGTGCCGTGGAAGAACCTTCTTCAAACCGAACCTCACACCGACTGCTAACACCTAGTTGTGCGCACCTGCAGCGCCGCTCCGCCGACAGGGGAACCTCCCGCTGCGCCTGCCGGCTGCACTCCCACAAGGCACCTCCTGGGGCTCTGGGGTGAGCCTGGAATCCACTATGTGGAGGTGACTTCGGGCTGAACTGCGAGGTTCTGCACCACCTTGCCTGTACAGAGGACGTCTCAAAATCACAAAGCAGCAAGCTTACACCCAGCGTGGACGTTATGAATCCAGAGTCCTTCAAGACATCAGGAAGGGCGCTCCACTGTGTGAGATCCAACCCCTCTTTATTCTCAGGGAAACTGCTCCAAAGATAAGCTAATATGTGGCCCTTGTTCACACACACCTGTGTCAGCTCTCGAACTGCATTTGAACCTGACCTCTATTTAGCAATCGCTTCCTCACAACCCACACCTCGTCGAAGCAGTAACTCGTGAGTTCTGCCTCTGCTTTGCACACAGGCTTTTTCCCACCAGGCAGAATAAGACATTTGCTTCAGATTTTAACTGAGACTTAAAAACAAGAGAATTACAAAGCTAGAAAGAACTTAGAGATAATAGCTAACCTTTAGCCCTAAGAAGTTAAATTAATTGCTTATGGTCAGAAAGCCATTGTAAAGACTGGGCCCTGGCTGGGTGGCTCAGTTGGTTGGAGCATTGTCCCATATACCAAAAAAGCTGCAGGTTCAATCTCTGGTCAGGGCACAAACCTAGGCTGTGGGTTTGATGCCCAGTTGGGGCACCTACAAGAGGCAACAAACTGGTCTCTCTCTCTCTCACTCTCCCTCTTAAATAAACATATCCTCTGGTGAGGACTCGGGGAAAAAAGTGATTAGTATAGTAGTGAAATCCAGGTTGCCGATCTCCCAGCTTTCAGTCCATTCCTTCGAGAAACAAAATATTTAAACTAGGAGGGATTTTAGAAATCATTTAGTACAATCTCTTCAATGGGAATATTTTTCATTAAAAATACCATGATTATCACTTCTACTTAAGGGATGCTTATTCTCCTGTGAAAAGTGCTAAATTCTGTACCCAAGAATCAATAAAAACCTGGGGTTACAGGAGCAAGAGGCCCTTCGCCACATGGTCTGTGGTGTCACACTGGACCAGACGCAAGAGAAAAGTCCCGCTGGGCAGTGAGTACTCACAGGGTCGGTGAGCATGGTTCTCAGGTGAGATGACAGGGCAAGCACCGCTAAGCAGTTAAAAATGACTCCATTGACCACAGAGTACCAGAAGTCTTTGGAAGGCAGCAGCATGACAAACGTCACCACAAAGTCTGCATAGATGACCAGAAGCCATGTCATGACAGCGCAGATCATGCCGCAGCCATCGTGGATGAACCAGACCCTGTCTGCCACGTCAGCCTCGGAGGAAGAGGAGGACGAAGAGTCATAATTGTCATTTTCAGTCAGGAGAGGATGGTGTTCGACATCACGGAGCCGGTGTCCTGATGACGGCATGATTTTCTGATGCGCCCTAGAGGGAGATTGGACACAGAGCGGATGAGGCTCCGGGGAGCCCACGCAGGGTTAGCCACAGCCACAGATGGACAAAGGTAATGAAAAGAACGAGCCAGGTGCAGAATCACAGCACCCGAGCTCCCCAGCCAGGGCTGCCAGCCACTGTCCGCGCCAACAGCCCCATGCAACCTGATCTGTCTGCGCTGAAGTGCACAGCGCCCTTGCAGCTCTCAGACAGGACCACCTGCAGCATGGAAGGGCGACAAAGAACTGACCACTTCTCATTCCCTACTGGCCTACTACACGCTGAGCGCAAGGTGCTTACCCAGGCTTCCTCCATGGGATTCTCAGTCTCCTTTCATTTCTCCCCCATTTTAACTCTAATAACATGTGCTCACATTTTGGAGGCAGGCTCCCATTTTTGTCTTTATCTCCTTCAACTCTATACAGTTTCTAGAATGCCCTTGCTCTCTATTTTAATCTTTTAAAGTTTTCTTCCCTTATTAATCCATTCTTTTGACACCTTTCCTATATTTCTTACAGTCTCTGATACCTGAGAACATATAGGGTCCAACGAAACAGAAGAGGAACTTGCGCATTTCCTAAAAACCGGTTTTGCTGCTTCTTTAAACGTAAAAACTTCTATCAGTGTTTAATAGAACAGCAGTGATACAATAAATAAAGACAAGGGAAATAAAGAGTCAGAGTTCACTTGGCCTCAGTATTCATACAAGGGACAGGAAAAGACCCTGGCAGCCTTTTATCAAATGACCCAAGTGCTTCCTCAGCACAGGCGCGCTCGCACCTCCCCAGCGTAAGGAGCAGGAGTGACGAGAACGAATGCTCTTGGAGTCAGGTCTGCTACAAGTGATAGGCAGCCATCTTTCAGAATGCGCATTCTGGTTCTTTGGTTGTTTGGTTGGTTGGTTGGTTTTTTACCTTCAATGCAACTGGAGCATAGTCATTATGAAAACACTTACTGGCCCCGGCTGGTGTAGCTCAACAGACTGAGTACCGGCCTGCAAACCGAAGGGTCACTGAATCAATTCCCAGTCGGGGCCCATGCCTGGGTTGTGGGCTCAAATGCCCAGTAGGGGGCATTTGAGAGGCAACCACACATTGATGTTTCTCTGCTTTTCCCCCTTCCTTTCCCCTCTCTCTAAAAATAAATAAAATCTTTTAAAAAAAAGACCCAAACATTTAATGAATGCATAAACTTGCAGGTGAGAGTCATTCTACAAATATTTTGCAAAATTCCCACCTAATATAAAAATATTGACTGGTACGAGAGAAAAATAAAATTGTTCCCCCATGGGGTCAGTAAAATAGCCCTGCTCTTAGATAAGACAAAATTAGGTTTAAAAATTTTTAAGTGCAACAGGAGAAACTAAAGATAAACGCTGGGCAGGCCTCAGCCAGCCACCCTTCCGGCTAGCATTTGCCGCACCCCACAGCACCCAGACGGGCCGGCCCGCCTCCCCCTGCAGACACCTCTGCTGCGTCCGTCCCGCTCACCCTGCAGGGCCCAGTGTTTCTCTCCTCCCAGCAAGTTATCCCAAAGACAGTTCTCCGTCCTCTGAGGAGCACCTGAAAAGGGTCTCTGAAGATCAGACATGCCCGTCCCACTGCAAAGCCTGACTTGGTCAGCGGGCTGACACCGAATCTGGAAGCACCTCTACCTCCCTTGAACTCTCAGGGCCTACTCATCAGTGCCACTTGCAGTGCATTTACCACTTTCTACCGCGAGGGCCTCTGTGTCTCCCTCCCTGTCAGCCCCCCATGTGGAGCGTCTGGTCCCCTCTCCCTGCGCTCCCTTTTGGAGCCTGTGTGCTGCTGGCACGTGCATGTTTGTTTACAGGCAGTTGCAACAACAAGGAAGGGGTACCTCTCTCAGATGTGAACAGTTCTCTAGTAATTTCCATAAAGGCTTCTTAGTGAATCATAACTGTACCTCAAGACTTTAAGCTGAAAATTCCTCCAACAGGAATCCCTTTGCTTTATGGCGATGCCTCAAGTAGAAGGCTTTCTATGAGAAACATGGCCTGCTTGCTGGGCACGGAGATAATATGCTGTACAGTCACATGCCCAGAGACCAACCAGCACTTGGCCAGAGCACAACGTTTGTGCAGTCTGAATTCTGTCCAGAAATGAGGACCCTGAGTGGCTTCTAAGGCATGCACGCTCAACAGCTGAGCCAGTTTGGGGTCACCTTCCGGCCGAGGTCCCAGTGAGGGGTGCCAGAGCGCGCGGGATGCGGCCCTGTGGCGGTAGGCCTGAGCTGGGGTGCAGACGACAGGAAGAGTGACCATGAAGACACTGAACACTGGCACGGTGGGGCGTCCCTGGAAGTGCGCATCAGGGTGCTGGTGCATCATGCCTGTGTGCTTTAGGGCCAAATTTGTTACATCCACTAGAAGGCAAAGGGAAAAACAATCTGATACCCAGAAGTGATTTTATTTTCAATAAAGTAATCAATGGACACGGCAAGGTTAGGCTGGCTTTCAGTTATCTGTCCCAAACTGCACGAGCACTCCGCTGAGTCACTGCATTTACACTTCAGTAATGTAAGAGGAAGGGAGGGGCGGAAATGAAGAAACAATTCCTTAACATTGAACTAGTTTAAAAACACTGGGAGCATGAGGGCAATGGTATAGCAATTTGAGATGCAAAACTAAAATGTACGCCGGTTACAGTAAGGCTGCAATCTTACTCTACACTAAATACCAAAATCGCTATGGATTTAATATTCTTGAAGATCCTTTCTGGGAGAAACCTGAAAGCACTATGCATTGACCGACGGTCAAGCAGATGGCACATCATCACTTTCCTACTTTCATGGGCGACTTACTGGGATTTTGTCTACACTCCTGAACCTAAGCTGTTTGTCCTACGTTAAATAAAGCCAGGTTTCCCAGAACACAAACGCCACACTGCAGATCTCCATTATGTCAAGGGACAACCATACAAGCAAATACTTTCCATGACATTTACACTGAACATTCACCTCATCTTGTAGTACTTGCTGATAACTTTCATTTCCTGGACGCCCCTCCACCCTCATGCCTAAGATACACTCTCCTTCTGGCACACGTGGTAAGCAAACCATGACAACAGGTGGAGAGAAACATTTCCTTATCGCCACTGACTTTTTTGTTTGGCTCACATTGCCTTTTCAATAGTATACCACTAATGTCAGCTATCGGAAAGGAAATGGTGACTACGCCTAAATAAGAACCACATTCTTACCTCACAAATTACTTTGAAACATTACTTGAACATTTTGTGCCTTTTCTTCAGGATCTGAAGGTACATTCTGTCCTATGTGATAGGATCTGAAAGATAATAAAATTTGATTAAAAAAGTTACTTGTTTTATGACAGCAGAGTGCATAATATTTCTTAGGGTATGAGTAATTTTGGGAGCATATATAACCAACATAACATTTTACACATAAAGTTCTGTTATTGAGAACTATCCTTATCTGTGATTCATTACTCTTCTGAGTTTTCACTACTTAGTAAATTGATTGACAATCCCGAAAATTAAGTAGTTTAGTGTTGTTAAGTCTGTCCATTTTACCCCCCTGCCATTTTAGCCATAATGCTGAACACCAATCTTGAAGGTGAGAAAGATCTCTAAGGATAATTCAGACCAAATCTGACTAAACTGCATCTCAACAGTCAACATTTGTTTTACTAGCCACAGCGAAGGAATTACAAGAAAGAGGGACAGAGTGAGACCAAGAGGTAAGAAGTGCTGGATGGAGGGACCATGTCACGTGAGGGAACATGGTGCATGTGAGTGAGGGCCGCCCATTGAATGAGGAAACTCCCAGTTCCCGTCTCCCAGGTGGCTCGCTGGCAGGTGGGCGAGTAGACACGGTCTCTCTGAAGTACTCATCTAGCCGAGAGAAAAGGCCTACAGATACCGAGATGCGGGGGAACCGCCACAGGGAAGTCAGACTCACTGCCACACTTCCCTAAGACGAGGACCGCCAGAGGACCTCCTACCATGGCTCCAAGTGCTTGGCCCATCTCATTCTTAATATAAACTGGCAGCCAACAGGCAGGTGTTTTGAAGAAAGCCCAAAACAGTTCTTATGAAAGAGTGAACGCCAACAAGAAACAGGGGAGGGGAGAAAAATTCAGAGCAGGCGTGACATGCAGAGAAAAAGAACTTCAGATTAAGAAACTGTATCTGTGAAACAAAAAGAACATTATAAAGATTTCCTAGTTACTGAACAATAAAAATATGGTAGAATTTTGAAATCTTAAAAAGAGGATTGGTTGAGAGAAAGGGGAAATCTCCCAGAAAGGAGAACTAAAGGACAAAGAGAAAGACCTTAGACAGAAAAATCAGAGCAGAGGACCAGCCCGGAGGTCCAGCTCCCAAACCGCACAGGAGGCCCGGCGGAGCAGCCGCCGGACACACGCTTCCCTGCAGCACAGCTCGGCGTCCGTTCTGCTGCCTGCCCATGCGCTGGACAGCCTGGCCGTCCTGTGTCTAGCCAATATCCTTCCAATGTATTATTTTTCTGCTTAAGCAAACCCTCAGTTGATGTCTGTTTTCTTTTCTTCTTTATTTTTTTCTGTTTTTTAAATTAAATGTATTGGGGTACCATTGGTTAATAATTATATAATGTTCAGGCGTACAGTTCTATAATACATCGCCTGCAAACTGCATTGTGTGCTCACCACCCAAAGTCTAGTCTCCTGTCACCATATATTTGACCCTCTTTACCCTCTTCATCTTCCCCTCCCCCTTCCCATCTACCATATTACTGTCTGTGTCTATGAATTTGTTTCTTTTGTTTTGTTGCTTTTTATTTCCCATCCCACACAAGTGAAATCATATGGTTCCTGTCCTTTCCTGTCTGACTTATTCCACTTAGCATGATATTGTCACAATCCATCCATGTTGTCACCAATGGCAGTGTGTCATGTTTTTATGGCTGAGTAGTATTCCGTTGTATATATGCACTACATCATCTTTATCCAATCATCTATCAAAGGACACTTGGCTTGTTTCTATGTCTTGGCTATTGTGAATAATGATAGGAGTACATATATTTTTACAAGTAAGTGTTTTCAAATTTTTGGGGTAGATACCTAGAAGAATTGCGGGGTCAGACAGCAGTTCTACTCAATTTGTTGAGAAGACTTCACATTGTTTTCCACAGTAGCTGCATTCCCACCAGCAGAGCACAAGGGTTCCCTTTTCTCCACATCCTCTCCAATGCTTCTTATGCCTTGTCTTATTGGCAACAGCTGTTTTAATAGGCGTGAGGCAGCATCTCACAGTGGTTTTGATTTGCATTTCCCTTATAGCTGGTGAAGCTGAGCATCTTTTCATGTATCTGTTGGCTAACCCTACGTGTTCTTGGGAAAAGTGTCTGTTCTGGTCCTCTGTCCATTTTCTAACTGGAAACAATCCAACTAAAACATGGTGTCCATTTTCTGAGACCAAGATGCCTGACTTGGATAGAAGGAGGCTCATATGGAGGAAGGTGAAGGGATAGGAGTCTGGGGAGATTAGGAGGCGTGGAGGGATGTTTCCCTAGTCGCCGCTACTGAACGGATCTGGGTTCCTCCCAGGAGCCCAGAGGCTACTGTCCCAGGTCTGCGGCGCCTCAGTGGGGGCCAGGCTCGGCTCTCAGCCTCCCCGGCCCTCCCATCCACCACCAGTCTCCTCAGGACTCCGTTCCCCCTCTGCACTGAACCTGGACAACCTCCTGCCCCGCCCTCAACACCACCCTAACATGTCGGCTCTGAGTCCCTTCTGAACTTGTTAATAACAAATGTGGCCATAAAGGACAAGCTGCTTAGACTAATGGCGGTGACTTTTAAAATATGGTATTTATACATAGTAACTTTATTAAAATATCTAGGCAATAGCCAAGGACTTTAAATGTATTCAGGAGTCAAGATCTGACTTAGATTTACTTTTAACTGTATCTTTGGTTAAATTTCCCTCTTCCTCTCACTTTTTTCCTTGGCTATAAACAAAATGTGTATTCCTCATAAGCAAACTGAAAACCAGTAAGTAAACAAAAGACATCAGTATTCTTTGGTGATCAGTTACTACAAAAAAGAATTAAGTTACAAATACTTCACTAAGCTAACGAAAAGAAAGCCTACCCTCGAGTCTGGTATTCATGTTTATATTAAAATGCTGTTTAAATCCATCATTGGCCCTGGCTGGTGTGGCTCAGTGGATTGAGTGCCAGCCTGCGAACCAAAGAGTGGCTGGTTCAAGTCCCAGTCAGGGCACATGCCTGGGTTGCCGGCCTGGTCCCCAGGAGGGGGCATGCAAGAGACAACCACACAGTGATGTTTCTCTCCTTCTCCTTCCCTTCCCCTCTGTCCAAAAATAAATAAAATCTTTTAAAAAAATAAATCATCATTGTTTTACTATTCATACACCCACTGATGACCTATATAAAACACAGAAAATAAGCAAATCCCTGCTTCAGACACAGAAGCAGCATGAGAAGTAAAGCCAGCTATGAGAGATCCATTTAATTCAAACAATGGGGGCAGGGGACCTCCAAGCACAGACTCTTCGTAAGCCCCACCCCCCTGTGCAACCACAGGCTGCAGAGGTGGGAGTCAGCCTTGTAAATAATGTGCTAAGTGTTATCCCCAAATCAGGAGTGAAGTGTGATGAGGGGGAGAGATGACAAAGGCTAATTCTGTGTGGAAGAACCAGAGAAAGTGTCAGTAGGGAAGACAGCACGGTGGGCATGGATGGACAAACAAGAGAAGACAGGAGGAGGAGAGAACAGCGTGACAAGGCGCGGAGGGGAAAAGGAGAGCAGGGGAGAAGGAAGGGAAGTGTGACCCGAGGGCTGACTGAGGTCCAAAACAAAGCACTCCAACGCCAGGCTAAAGAGTCTGGCTTTGTGCGCTTCTTTCTGCTGGAATGGGAGGCACCAGCATTTAGGTAGACAGACAGATGTTTTAAAAAGATACCTGGCGACAAAAGTGGGACTAGCATGTAAAGAAAGACCAGGCAGCCAGGAGGCTGCTGCTGTGGCCCAGAGCAGAGATGACAGAGGCCAGAACCGGGAGGGGCGCGGGGAGGGGCCTGAGGAGAGAGTCCCAGCAAGAAAAAACAGAGCAACCAACAGGTGGAGCGGGCAGGACACAGTATAGAGAATGAAAGGGACTCGGAGGCATCACGGCCCTGGCCGAGGCTGTCAGGGAACACGGGAGCTGCAGACTCAGGGAGAGGGCGCCGAGACTGGCGCTCGATGGAACGGAGGTGCCTGCAGAATAAACTAGCAGAGCTGACCAGCAGCCAATTAACGTCTGATCTCCTCCAGCCCCAACCTAGAGACACGTAAGGAGACACCAGCTCGGCGAACAGCTGAGGAGGGAACAGATGCACGCACCCCAGAGGCCCCAGAAGTGTGAGGCTGGAACCCTGGGGAACACAGGCATGAAAGGGGCGGGAGAGGTAAAAAAGAGCCAGGAAAGGAGGCCAGGGAGGGCGTTAGAGGCAGAGGGGAGGTGGGAGCAGCCCACACACCACAGGGGCCAAGCAGATTCAGTTTCAGTCGAGTGCAAGAGCTCAGAGATACTTGAAGAAGCAATTTTTTTTAATGTGGTTAAGTGAAGGACATCGGCTAGAAGGAAAAGTGGGGGCAAAAGGTTTTTCAATTTCCTCTCTTGTGTATTAGCTCACTGACAGCTACAGTGAACTTAAAATACTTGGTCTCCTCATTTTGCAGATGAGCCACCATGGACCCACAGGATGTAAGCACCCACCCAAAGTCATGGTCAGTCCCCGAGACTCCACGAGAGTCCCACCACGCTGCATCTCCGTCTGACCATGCCACACTTTTAGAAAGCCTAGGACAGCCCCGGAGGCGACCGAATGTAAAGAAAAGGAAGAGTATATGCCTAGGTAAGCCATTAGGCTGTTAAACTAAGCGAATATATGCTAAGAGGTCCCGCCAAACTTGTTCCTGTTTCTCTTTTCTTTCTGATTTTGTTATTTGAACTTTTCCTGCAACTACAGAAGCAATATGAGCTCACTTTTTTCTGTCTTTAAAGAATGAGGGTACAAGTGTGCAGACTCAGGGAGGCGACAGCTGACAGAGCAGAATGACCCTTCTTCCTTAGACTGGAGGAAGGAGAGGGGACCTACAGACAAGAGGGACTGAACCTAAAGAGGGTCAGACCCCATAACACTCTTTCTGAGCAAGGAGTAAGGAGGTGGGCTGTGAGTATTCAAAGTGGAGGAAAGCTTAGGAAGAGCTCCTGAGACTGGGAAAAGGAGGGTAGGGAGAGGTGGGTGGGGAAGGGCAGCCAAAAACGGACCGAAACAC